CTTCACACATTCCTTTTGTGGAATTTTTTTTAATAATAAAAAGAAACTCACCAGAAATAAATATTCACCAAGCAAAATAATAACGAAAACCACTGCAATGCAAGGAATGAAATTAACTTCACAGTCTTCTCACTACAAGTACTACAAGGAAACGGTAAATTTTTGTTCGTTCTAGCGTCGCCGAAAAATAACGGAACCCGTTAAGCTATTGCAAAAGAAAATAATAAGACACTTTTGGGGGATAACAAAACGATTAATATGCCTTTAAATATGCATGTATATTAAGATAAGTGTTTGACGCAGTTATGAAAAAAGCATTGATTGAGATACCAAGATATGTATTCCAATTTTTTTTACGATAGACACAATCTATTGAGATANCATGTAACATCAAAAGCAACAGCAGCTCTATCATCTTCGCATACTTCACATACAAAAACACTTTCGCCCTCTCGCAATATAACCACGTCTGCTGAATTTTCGGTCATTTCATCCAACCCAACAGGAACAACCGGACAATTGCCACGCTTACGTACTGGCACTTCCCTCATCATTGTCGGTCTCCTTGCCGTGGGGATGGGGCTTAAGTGGTAATATGTTGGCAGCTTCGGCAACGACATATCAACACGAACTAAGAGGGAAGCTTGCATAGTGACCTGATGCCGCTGTATCAACCTCGCCCGCAGGGTAAGGGTGATACCAGGCACTCTGGTTTCCATGCAAGATAACCGCACCGACGTCCCTATCCCTAATCCTACCCCATCCCATCTTCCCTCCTCTCCTCCACAAAATCCTGACTGGGGAGTCACTATGCAGGCACTATGCAACGGAAGGAAAGTCTGGGGCAGGTGGGATCTGAGGATGCTTCGGCAGCCAAAGATGACATACCACAAGCCTCGCCGAGTACTGGACTGAAAACCGGACAGTCTAGAAAATTCGGGGACGTCAGGAAGGCCACAGGTTTGAGTGGAGCAGGGGCCAAGTGGTCCCTGCGCTACGTCAGCAAAGGCTTAACGCCTGAGGAGGCCAAAAAGAAAGTCCTGGACCGCGAGAAGACCAGTGACAGCGCACGGGAGGCTGGGGAAATTAGTGCTCCGAAAGGTAATCCGGAGAACAAGAAAGTTCTGGACGGGGAAAAGCCCAGTGACAGCAAACGGGGTGCTGCGGAGATTAGTCCTCCGGAAGGGAAGCCAGAGAAGAAGAGGAGCTGTCTCGAAGCGCTGGGGCCAAAACCCAAGGCAGGGGCCAGGAAGCCTGGTGTTAGCTATGCCAGCGCCACTAAGCGTATCAAACAGGCTGTTCTGCCAAAGGCTTTCCCTGAAAGTACACTCACTCGTGAAGATCAGGGAAAGATTGAGGACGCCATTGTGGAGGAGATGGGTAAGGGTTGGTGGTCAATACTCCCACTCGACGGCATCCACTTTCGGCCAGGCCTTATACTGGTCGACTGTTTGGATGCAGAATCAGCCGAATGGTTGCGCGAAATTGTCCCAAAACTGCCTGACTGGGATGATGCGGAACTGACTACGTGCGATGGGGACAACATACCCAGGGTGCACGTAATCACTACGTACCTACCAAAAGCTGCAGGAGTGGACACGCAGAAACTGCTGAACCTCATTATAGCACAAAATGAGGGAATGCATACCGACCTATGGAAGGTTTATAGGAGCAATGATGAGAAGACGGGCAAACTGCTAACGATCGGGATTGACGACCGGTCGTTNTGGTCAATACTCCCACTCGACGGCATCCACTTTCGGCCAGGCCTTATACTGGTCGACTGTTTG